CCCCAAAACCCCAAAACCCCAAAACCCCTTATGCTAAAATTAGACTTGAATTTGATATAATTTATAATTTGTAATAGGTAGTAATCATGATTTATGCTTTAAATTAATAAAAATTTAATGAAATGTTGGAAAGAGTGTATTAAAATTAATGTAATAAAATCTAAATATGAGGAATAACTCAATATATGTCATCCTAGTGGGAATAGCTGCAATGATGATTAATTTGACCATGGCACAATCATGTATTTCCCTCTTTTTTAAAGTTTATAGGCCTAAAGGATGAATACTTTTAATCAACAACTTCTTAATGCATCAGTAAATTTCATAAAGTTTTACAATCGATTAACACTCCAATTAGAATGCGAGAGTGCAATATTAGGATGTGTTTCATGCTCATCTACGACAGTAAATACACGTATTTTTGTGACTTGTAACTCTTGCTTTGATGGTTTGTTTTTGCTTCAAAGTGAGACATTTAATTCTAATTTTCCATCATAATACTCTAAATGTGTTCCTGACTGTCTCATGGCACACTCTTCCTATGTTAATAATGAGATCACTCGGAAATGCATGTGTAAATTATTTTTCCGAACTTTATATATTAGGGTGTGGAGAACACTGCCAATCTTGTAATTTAAAATATGGATGTGAAAGATGTGATGGGGAAGACCAAATTAAAGGGTGGGTATCAGCTTTGCTGAGTACAAATTAGCAATAGTATTCAACATTCAAGAGATGCTAAGGCAAGGAAAACATATTCAAATCAATCAAATAATTCAAATATAGAATGCAAAAAATCCAAGTCATGCACAGAATGCAGCCCATCAAATACCAATACTTGTGTTACTTGTGATCCTCCAGTAAATTAAGTATCCTTAGGAGCGCCAAATTAGTGCTGTAATTTTAAATCAATCATTATATAAACTAAATAGACGAGAAAATTTCTCCGGCATTAGTAAATGACCCTAATTGTTATATCTATGAATACGGAAACTAATACAATTGCGCACTTTGTGACGATACATATTATTTAAAATCTTATTATCATACTGGCTAAAACTGAAACGTTAAGGGATGTTTCTAACGTATTTATTTATCATAACTTTTTATTATTCTTTAGATCGCGATGGAAATACCTGCTTGATCCCTACTGACTATGACTACTGCAATATCTGTTAGTATGGATATGGGATTAATGATAAAAATAGCTACAATACTTGCCAAGGTAATTTTAATAGACATTAAAACTTATTTTGATATCTAGATTGCAACTAAAATAATGGCTATGACGAAGATATTGTCAATTGTAAGTTCAGAAGTAATGGCTAGGAAAATGGAATTTTGGCTTGCAGAGATGGGTATGTAGATTAAGATAAATGTATCCATAATTGCTAAGCAGGTAAATATGGAGTGGCTATTTATAATTTTCGAGCAAGAATTTAATCCTCTAATTGTGCTGTGTGTGATAGTAGCTGCTATGAATGTGGAGGACCTTCGGCTACTTAGTGTAAATCATGTCCAAAGGGTTACTATTTACAACTCACTTCAAGAAGTACTTAAATGGGCACATGTGTGCTAAAATAATAAGGATTTGCATAATACACAATATATGTCAATCCAGTGACATAATAAAATACTAAGAGCTCTGATTTAATTTAAGGAACCTAAGCTGATTCTTTCAATTCAATATAGGATGCAATAAACTATGCTTATGAAATTGGAGCGAATATTACCTCAGCAGAAGTTACTATTCTTCTGAAGGACGGACTTCACGCTATGGTTAGATACAAGCCAGTAGATAAATATATGCCTTTAAAATTAGACAAATATAGTGCAAGTACAGAAATGATATTAAAGCCAGTGAGTATTACCACACTTTCAGTGTATTACAAATTAAGGGACAGTTTTAGTTTTAATGTTGGGGCTTCTTTAACTATTCAGAACATCAAATTCGATGCAATTGATTCCTCCGTAGATTTAGTTTCTGACCTAAGCAGTTCTTATTATTGCTCATAAAATACTCTGATAAATTGTTGTTCAGTAGATGAATCAGGATTGCTATAAGGAGGCAAATCATGCTATTTTGTCAGAAAGCCGTAAAATTTTATTCATAACGATTTAGATCTGAGGAATGCTATGGGGCATTTGGCGTTAATTTCATAAAATTCGATATTCATTAAAATTCACTGCTCACATCGCCACCAAATTTAACTCTCGAAGTATACATCATATCTCTATTTTTACTTAATATAGAATGTGATCTTTAAAAATTTCATCTATGAGTACAACAGTCTCATAGGATTGAATGAATACGGAGGCCATGTAAAGATAATGAACGTAACATTTGACAATATGAATTCATGCGGGGCTATTGTTAGAAACAAATTTGCTTACGTGTCTCCAGATATTGAGATTACAGATTTCTAAACAGCTTACAAATCAAGATCAAGCACATAACAGTCAAAATCGTTTGCAGAGTATTTTAGTGGAATAACAAACTTGAATATCTATGATGGAAATTGCTCCAGAGCAAAAGCGTCTTGGAGCGAGAATCCATGCTTTTCCATATTGATATAAGATTCTATATTTACCAATTTCGGTAAAATGAAAGTGACATCAACCTATCCTATTTCAGTTGATCCTACTTATAAACTTAAGTATCAAGGGTTGATATTAGACTTTGAAGAATTCAATGGACCAATTAGCTTCTTAAATAATTCATTATAGTAAAACATCATCAAGTATGATTCCTGCTTGGCTGCCTCATACCTTAATTAAATGACTTAAAATCCTTCGGATAAATATTCTATGTATGGAGAAAAGGGTGTTTTCTAAATAAAATCCTGGATATCAATAGTTAATCATGGAGATTGGAATATAGATATAGTCAGAAACAGCTTCAGGCTCATGTCATCAGTCAAAGGACTCATCTATCTTGATCTTGGATCTAGGTCTTTAAATAGCTCAGTTTTAATTGCTTAGAACACTTTTTACCAAAATGGAGGATATCTAGATAGCACTGTAATGCATATTCGGGCTAGAGGCAGTTAGAATTAGAATGTACTGAATAGTCTTCCTTCAAGCACATCAACATTCTGCACTGGCTATCATTTAGAACTTAATAGGTTTGAAAGAAATTATGGCTGTACTAAGTTTTCAGGGGGACCTGTTAAGTTTCAATGCTTGAATTGGGACACTTAAGATTCTACAAGCAATGGAAATATTGATTACCAAGATCTAGATGATATTCAATAAGACTTTGCTGCAATAGATTATAAAAATTTGGCTCAGAAAATAAGATAGGTTTAGTATTATGATCAGACCTACAAAATTGATCTTAATGTTAACAGATTCAAATCTAACTATTTTGGCGAAAACATGGCCACTGGAGGAAGCTCAATTGTAACGGTGATAGGATCTCCTCGAACATTCTTTGAAAATGAAACATACTTTGGCAACGGAGAGTCTAGCTTAGAATCAACTTTATTCTACGGTCAAGCCAAGTATTTGATTGGTTCAGATTTGGTGGAGCCCTATGGACTTAATCTACATACTAGCTAAGCAGTAGATATCAAAAATTTGATGAAATCTGTAGTATTTATCTAAAGGCACGGTTAAGCAAAGATAATAAATTGTACATTTGAATATAACTGGATGTATGAGTCTTACTATTCTACTGAAAGAACATAGCTTATTTAAATTCAAGATTTTTATGGCCAGTTTTATCTTGATGGATGGGTAGTATTAAACTAGATAGGTATGATTGATAATCCATATGGACCCTCGGATTTCGGAGTTAATGCCTAGCTTTTAAGTCAAAGAGATAGTGCCAGTATACATCCCTTAATAAGATTTATAGGCAGCCTTCGGATAAAGTATGTAGATAACCTAAAGACTTCAACATACATGAAAAATGTTCAATTTTAGGAGTTTAGCAACTTTGACTCTTAAATATTGCCATATTTCATTGTAGATGATAATGATGAGTACCTATACCCAACTACTATTAATATCAGTAATGCTCATTTTGAAGATGTTGATTGTCATGCTTGTACCAGACCTTGGATGAAGCTTAGATAGGAGTAGGTAACTCTAAAAAATATCACATTAAAGAATATCAACTCAAATACACAGATTTCAGGGCATTATCAAGAATCTACTATATTTGCCTTATATCTTATGAAAGAACGTTACTAGAATTTCTTGCTTTTTAACACAAACCCTCCTGAAAAAGTAAACATAAGTGGTATAAATGTCATAAACTTTTTTGGCAAAGATGGTGCAAGAATATTTGATATAGTTGAAATAACTGCAAAGTATGATATTGATCCAACATTTTATCACATCTTTATCTAAGACTGCTAAATAAGTGGAGCTTATTCACTGGGCTCCGCTCCTGTTTTTCATATTAAAGGAAATCAGATGAGACTCTGGACAAGAAACAATAGCTTTGAAAATATTACTTCTGGCTTGTTCACAACTGGAGGGTTTTATGGATCTGTATTTTGGATTTAGGGATTTTATTGAATGCACGTGGAACTGGCAACTGCAATTGATATAAATAATCCTGCATCTCAAATTGTTGATGATTAGACTGATGGATGCGGGAGGTTTCTCTGTCTTACTGATACAGATAATCAATTTGTTCTCAATATTACAGACAGCTATTTCCTAGGAGCTTCACGCCCAATATATATGCAAAAAACATAGGATTAAATTTTCTGGATCGATAACGAGAACTTTAACCAAGCACCGATGTTTGACATTAGACTTGGAAGACAGGATTTCACTTTTACTCTAATTAGATCTAGCTTTGTTAATTGCAGTATCAGCAGATAAGGAAGTACTGTAAGTGTATATAGTTAGAGAACAAAGACACTAAATATATATTCAAGCTACTTTGAAGGAAACGCTGCCATCGAGGGTGGTGCAATTTACTGTAAGGATTGTTATTTTTCATTGCTTAACACAACTTTCAAGACCAATGTGGCTAAATTTGGTGGCGACTTTATGCTACTAGACCCATTAATTACGATTCAGACATATGAAAGTATAACCACAACTGGAAGTTTAGCAACATAAAATGGAGGATCTATTCTAATAAAAGATACTTCTAGCATAGACTACAATGTAAAAATATTCTAAGGAAGAGGCCTTAACTCATCATTCAGCAACTGCTATGCCAAGAATGATGGAGGTTGCATATATATGGAAATAAGAGGGAACTTGATTATGAAAATCACTGACACCTACTTTGAAAATATGGGAGCAGAATACAATGGTGGTATGCTTATGGTTCCATAGCTAACAGGGTCAAATTAATGGATAAATCTCAATATTTAGAATTGCGTTTTCGATCAAGCATTTACAATTCATGAAAATGGTGGAGTAATCTTCATAAATGAGAATGCTAGATAATTGACTCTTACAATTGAAGATACATAACTCAGGAAATTATATGCATAGCTTAACGGAGGATTTCTCTATTCAGGAGCTAGAAACTAATTGATTGCTACTTTTAATAACGTGACAATTGATGATATTCAGGCAGAAAACGGAGGATTTATTTACTCACTAACTGATTCCAACTAGATGAATGTTTAAAGTAACTCTGTAATAAGTAATGCCAAGGCTTTATAAAGTGGTGGATTATTCTACATTGAAAATGAAAATGCAAATATCAGGATAAATATAGTAGGATCAACTATCTTGAACTCTCAAGCTACAGATGGCTATGGTGGATTAATCTATGCCAATTGTGAATAAATCAGAGTTGACTTCACTGTCTATACAAATATATCTAGTACTAAATCACGTAAAGGAGGAATAATCTTCTCAAATGCTCGAATAAATACTCTATATATATGGCAGACCCAACTGGATAACTCTGAGGCTATTGAAGATGCAGCAGGCTTTTATTTAAATTCTTCATACCAGACTTGGGTATATGTAGACAAGAATAGTACTCTTAAGAATTTTGGAAGTGGCTCAACTGGAGGTGTGTTTTATGTCAGCGGAGATTATATTAGCATGAATATCAATAATCTATAATCTCTAAATACAAGTGCCACTGACTAGGGTGGATTCCTGGTAACTTCAGAAGATTTTGATAGACTTGTCATTAGGATTAAGTATTCTTAATTTCTTAACACATCTGCTGAGTTTTTTGGGTCATTTATCAGCGTAAGAGGAGATGATTTTCCAGATGTTGACATTCAAATTTCAGACTCAAATTTCACTTGTAAAGAATCAACTTATTATGATGATTGGCCTTCTACATATATTATGACTTTGAAAAGTTTGGATGAAGGCTAAGGATTGATTGCAGGATTGCTTTCATTTGGGGAATTCGTAACTGGTGATGTTTCCTCAACGAAAAATAAATATTAAAAGTGTTATGCTACATATGAAGGCTCTATATTCAATGTGCCTAAATTCATGACTCTAACTGATACATAATCTAAATATGAGTTTAATGGTGGACTCAATGGACTTATAAGTGCTGTGTCAAGCAGAGTGGTCATGAATGATGCTTACATCAAGGACTCTATTGCTAAATATTCAGGTTTTGTACATATGGTCAATAATGCTTCTGTTGCTGTTAACAGATTAAAAATATCATATTCTAAGTCCAGATTGCAGGGAAGTGCTTTTTATATTGAAGGGAAGGGACAAACAGAACTAAAGATTTTAAATTGTCCTGATAAATTAGAGTATTTTGAATCTAGCTAAGACGGTGGATTTCTATATAATTCCAATCCTGACCTTGATTTAAATATTAGTAACTGTATTATCAACCATGTATATTCTGCTTCTGATGGTGGCCTATTATACTTTGACAAAGGGGACAATATAAAGTTATACAATGTATCTATCACTAACATTACCTCTTTTGGAAATGGAGGTCTTATCTACTCACTTTATTATGGAACAAAATTTAATTTAGGCAGAGTTTTAGTAAAATGTAAAGAATTTTACGATGCAGTAGATTTAAATTAAGAACTATACAAAAACCAAACTTCTCAAGGCTCAATGATCTATGTCAAAAATAGTCCATCATTTTATGGGGCAGACAACTCCTTTCAAAATTGCTTTATTTCCAGTGAGGGGTCAGTATATAATCTTGAAAATTCTACACTAGATGATCGAAGATCAAGTTATATATAAAATTCTGCTATTAAAGGTGGGGTATTTTACTTTAATAATGTCAACAGCACTTTCTAATCTATTAATGTTGAAAGAGTACTAGCATATCTAGGTGGTACATTTTTTATTCTTGGGCGAAATATCTTGACCATCTAAGGCATTTATGTCAATTAAAGTGAATCATTTGGGGATGGAGGCTTCCTACAACTCAGAGAGGAGGTAAATAGGAATGAGATTTCTATTTATTCAGATGTTACTAACAAAGTAAGAATATATAATCTTGCAAGCAGAGAAGCTAATGGTGGAGCTTTCTTTATTGACTGCTCCAATACTGATATTTCTTTCAACAATGTCCTATTCTAAAATACCTCTTCTTTGATAAGTGGTGGTTTTGCAAATATCAAAAAAGCTAAAAATATCTTTATAAGCAAATCTACTATCTTTTAAGCTAATAGTAGAGAATCAGGATCTGTTATCTATTCTGAATCAGTTGGAAGCAATTTCGATCTTTAAGAAACCACATTTGATTGTCAAGGTGAAATGTTCGGGAACATTAATAATTATCTTATAGAACGAATCAAAACTAATGGAGGGGCTTTCTATCTTAAAAGTGCTTTAACTACGAATTCCTATGGGAACACATATTAAAATTGCTATGTTGGGGATGTTGGAGGAATATTTTACTTCACTAACACTAACTTTCAAGAGACTAATTCTGTTTATCAAAATAATGCTGCGATATATGGTGGAGTGTATTATTGCATCAATTGTAATATTTACCTGAGGAATACTTAAGTGATAAACAACAAAGCAACTAAAGGTGGTCTAGTCTATTTGTAGGACAATGGAGATCTGACTTTTGATAATTTTATGGCTCGAGGTTCTTATTCAATGGAAGGCGGTGGCTTGGTTTACTTGACTTAAAAACAATCTAATTCTAATTCAACAATCACTTTCAAGAATACAGCTACCATGTCTGATTTCGCATCTGAATAAAGTGGAGGAGGTTTCTATATTGATCACAAAGGACTGAACTTCTATGTTTTAAATCCAATTTCGATGTAGAATAGTAATGCTCATAGCGGACATGGAGGATTTTTATATATTGTAAACGGAAATAATTTCTTGATTTAAAATTCAAACTTTATTGGGTTTGGTGCTACGGGTAATGGTTCTTTTATATACTCTACTTCATATGAACTTAACTTGACTCTTTTGAATAATATTTTGAAAGGGTCTTCCACTGAATGGACCACATATTATCTAGATGATTTGAATAAAACTACTAAGGGAGGAGCAGTCTATGTTGAAGACAGTAAATACCTGATAAGATCAACTAGCAATAAGTTTTCAAATTTATACATTTCTCATTAAGGAGGAGCTTATGCTCTTATAAACACATCTATAAATGATAGTTTCTCAAGCTATTAGTATACAAAGGCCAGATTTGGAGGAGCAATATATTGTGAATTATGTCACTTAGAATTGTTTTAAGCAAAATTTGATCATAATTAGGGTTTAAGAGGAGGCTCGATCTATATTAATAATCATTAGGGTAAATTTACTGCAACTGAAATAAGCTTTGCAAACTAATATTCTCAAGTATCTGGAGGAGTAATGTATCTTTAAGGAATCTCAACTGGAAGTATAGAGTTTAGAAATATCTCAATTAAAGTAAGTGAATCGATTCAAACAGGAGGATCATTCTACCTTGATCATTAAAATTCTATATTCAATATAAACAATATGACCTTAAACCAATCAAAAGCTGAAAAAGAAGGCGGAGTATTTTACATAAATAATTAGACATTATTGAACATTACTAACTCTTAATTTCATAACTTGACATCTCATTAAAAAGGAAGTTTTATGTTTTCAACCTCATAATTACTCACCCTAAATACAATTAATTCTACATTCACTTGTAGTAATAAAAGTTTAAACTACTCTTAAGATCTTGAGGGAAATATAGATACTATCAATCCTTATCTGACAAATGCTGGCAGTTTTTATATTGACTCAGCATTAGGGGTTAAAACTTAAAATATTAGTGTGAAAAATTGCTATTTAGGAGAAACTGGTGGTGCTTTTTCATTAATTAACACTACATTAATTGATAATAATAGTTCCTACTCCTCTAATGCAGCTTTACTAGGTGGTGTAATTTATTCAGAAACATCAACAATTACCTTGCTTAATGCTAATGTATCTAATTCATATGGTATTAATGGAGGAGTGATATATCTTCATAAAGTTAATCCAATCTCTATAAACAACTCAAGATTCATTAACAACAGCGCTACTATGAACGGTGGATTCACATATATAACAGAGAGTGGAGTTTAAACGGGGTTTTACAATTATACTATGAACTTTACTAATATCACCAATTCTAAATCTGGATAATCTGGAGGTGCATTCTTTGTTGAATCTACTACACTTAGAAATATAAGCATGTATCGGGTCAATATTATCAAATCTATGACAGCAAATACCGGAGGTGTAATTCATATTAAAGAAATGAAAGGTCACCTGAACATTTCATCTGACATCAATACTCAAAATTTGATCTCAGATTTTAATGCATCTTCTATGGGATCTTTCTTATACAGTGCAGGTTAATAGGACTTTTCTTTGAATATATACAACTCCATTGTTGAAGCTAGAAATTACTATGATTACCCCTCTATCTAAAGTAAGATTTTAGATACTAGTTCTGGATTCGCAGGAGCATTTTACATATCTTAATCTAAAATTGGAATAATCTCAAGAAATAACACATTTAGGCAATGCTATACCGCTATGACTGGTGGTGTATTTACATTAGTTTAGACAAGGCTAGATGATCACAATTCTAAATACTACCAGAATGCAGCTATTACAGGTGGTGCATTTAAATGTGAAACATGCTCAATAATAATGATAAAATCTTCAATTTTCTAAAATTTTGCTGCAAATGGAGCAGTATTTCTCATTGATAATTATGCCTCACTAATGATAGCTGATACTGAGATAAACAGCAATTAAGCAGCCTCAAGAGGAGGAGTATTTTCTATAATTAAATCTGATTTCGGTAGTCTTGAAGGTGTTTAGCTGTAAATAGAAAACTGCTCTTCAATTTAATATAACAAAGCTAATGAAGGAGGTTTTATAAATGTTGAAAATGAATATATGAGCATCAATATAACAAACTCAAAAATCTAATTTTAGACAGCAGCATTAAGAGGTGGTATTATAAATTCAATAAAAGCAAAGTCGATTTCGATTTTAAATTCAACTCTTACTAATTTCTAATCTATTGACGGAGCTGGAATTTACTCTATATCTGAGGATGTCACAATACATATCAGTAAATCTTTTGTAGAGTGCAATTAGCTATTTGATTTCACAACTGTTTCTAAATATCTAAATGCCTAAGAATACACATTTACACTTCAATCAAATTTCTTCGTTTTAAGAGCCAAACAAGTAATATCTGAGACTAATAAATTCCAGAGTTGTGCGGTTTGCAATTTAGGAGGAGTTTTTACACTTTAGCAAACAGTTTTTAATGACACTAAGTCTAGATTTATTCAGAATGCTGGAGCATCAGGAGGGGTTTTCTTAATTACCCAGAGTAATGTTTCGCTTATAGGATCTTATGTAGAGTCTAATTACGCATATGAAGGTGGAGCAATGTCAGCTTACTAAGATTCCTTTATTTATATGCATAGCTGTTAGTTCACTAGCAATACAGCTTACTCATCTGGGGGTGTGATGTATGTAAATACAGAGTCATTCTTTTGGACGATAAATTCTCTATTCTAAAAGAATTATGCACCAGAGTCATCTGTTATTTTAGTTCTTGGAGGAAGTATGGTTTAAAATAACACTATTATCAATAGTAATATTATAAACAACAACGCATCAACCAATACTTTATCACTAATGTATGGAAATCTCATAATAACATCTTCAGCATTTGAGAGTAATTATGCATTATTCAGATCTAAAAACATATTCCTTGGCTTCTGTAAAGTTCAAGTGTCTAATTCAAAATTTACTAGCAACACAGATTCAGATGATCCAAAATCAATTTTAAATGAGCAAACAACCGGCACCTTCTTTTTCATCATTTTTGATGTAAATATTATGATATAAGGTTGTACATTTTAAAATGGTAGGTCTAGATTAGGAGGAGCAATATATATCTCAGGAGATAGTTATATAAAAATCTATTCTAGCAAATTCATTAGCAATTATGCAGCGACCTATGGAGGAGCTATTTATGCTGTAGGATTCAAAAATCTTGAAATAGGGGAAAATTCATTCTTAAGAAACAATTTAGCAGTAGAAAAAGGCGATGATTTTTATGTTTCTAATACTTAAAGCAACTTCACACTTAGCAAAGTTAATATAACTAATCCTAATGCAAAAGGATCAATTTACGCTGAACAGGTAGCTTTGACAATATCAGAATCTGGATTTTAAAATATCTAAAATTAAGAAAGTGCTTAAGGAGGAGCACTATATTGTCTTAACTGTAGAAAAATTAATATTACTCAGAGTTCATTCATCAATATTCTAAGTAAATAAGGTGGAGCTTTATATATTCAGGAGAATGAGGTAAATAAGAAATTGTCAGATAAACTTGGTAAATATTAAATTCTTGATAGTATATTCTAAGGATGCGAGGCTTAGCAAACTGGTGGAGCAATATTTTTAGATAATATATAATACATGACGATTGAATCTACTAAGTTCCAAGAGAATAAAGTGAAATATTCTAAAGATGCATCTAATATGGAAGTATCTGGATCTGGAGGTGCAGTATATTATACTTGCAACTCTTAGCTATTAAATTGCAAATTTGAGATTATTAGGAAATCAATTTTCTCTAAGAATAGTGCAGAAATCAAAGGAGGGGCTATATTTTGGGATACTCTTGAACCAATTTATTTGGATTCTGACATCATATTTAGAGATAATTCTGCAAAGTTTTACGGAAACGATGTCGCATGCTTCTCATAAACTTTGAATGTCATTTCTCAATCTTAGTATAAGCAATTACTTGTCAAAGTAGGGCTTGCCTAGGATGATAGGCTATTAAGACAATTAGAAATAATCTAATCAAAATTAAAACCAGAGAGATTATTAGATGGCATTGTAAATATAAACGAAGGTAAGGTCTAGTCTTAAAGAAGTGGTGGAAGTATTCCAACTATCTATTTAGCACATGTAGACAAATATGGTTAAATTGTTGGTTCTGATTTTTCAAGCAAAGTAAGAGTTTCTGTTGATTCTACATCAAATACAAATCCGAAAGCACTAGCCTATCCACCAAACATTGAAGGATAAACCTAATTCGATTCTTAAGCAGGCATGGCTGTTATTTAGGGTATTAGTTTTGCTGGAACTCCTGGATATACCTATAGTTTATCTTTTTCAACAGACGGAATAGACTTAACAAAGGAATCAAACAAGAATTACATGAAAAATTAGGGAGCTAAGACTAACTTAGATACTGAATTACCTATAGCCTTAAGAGATTGTGAGATTGGAGAGTAATATACAAGTTCAGGGAAATGCATGTCTTGTCCTGATGGGCAAAGTTTTGCCTTGGTTAAAATGACTTCTCCTGGTGATTGCAGTACTTGTCCAACTGACAAAGCAGTTTGTAATGGTGGGTCAAATGTAGGCCCTAAGAATGGGTATTATAGAAAAAATAACTAAACTTCTACATTTGTCAAATGTCTTTATGCACCAGCTTGTCTTGGAATGATTCCTCCAGTTAATGATCCAATGGGAACATGCGCTGAAGGTTATCAAAATGTGATATGTGCAGATTGTTAAATTAACTACTCAAGAACTGGGGACTTTGAATGCTCTAAGTGTCCAGATCCTATTTAGAATGTAATAAGGCTGTTTTTCATAATGATTGGCCTATCAGCTCTTGTAGTATTTACAGTCAGATCAACACTTTAAGGAGCTAAAGAGAAGAATAACGTCACTAGTATTTTCATGAAAATCCTTTTAAACCATATCTAACTGATTTTATTGACTGCTTCATTTGATTTCAAATGGCCTGATGAAGTACTTGAATTATTTGATACTGCTAAGCCTGTAGCTGCCATTTCTACTCAAATTATTAGTTTTGATTGCTTTTTAGACTAAAGAAATGAAGAGTAGCAAAGTGAATCATAAACAAATGCAGAAAATGGCTAAATAAGAATATTTTTCCAAAAACTTATATTTCTTGCTATTTTGCCTCTAGTTCTTGCTGCTATTACTATAGGTATTTGGTAAATTATCAGATTAATTAAGAAAAATAATGTGGAAATATAAGGTAGAACAATATCTACTATGGTTATTGTGCTATTCTTGATTCATCCTAACATTGTCTAGTTCATGTTTTACAACTTTAAGTGCATTGAAATTGATAGTGATTTGAGAGTTTTAAATGATCTCGAGGTTTTATGCTGGAATAATTAGCACAAGATATTTAGTTTCTTCGTTGCAGCTCCGAGTATAATAGTATGGGGCATAGGCATACCTGCTTTTGCTCTTTTGATTATGAAGAAATTTTCATTTCAACTTGAATAATTGGAGATTAGAGAGAAATTTGGATTTCTATACAGAGGCTATAGGCATGATTTTTATTTTTGGGAGATCGTAATTATGTACAGGAAAATGCTTTTGATCTTTATAGCTGTTTTTATTGGAAATATAGGTGTGATTGCCCAAGCACTTATAGTATTTGTAGTACTTATTATGTAATATTTTTATCATATTAATAATCTATTAGGTTTTTAATTATTAATTTAAAGAAGAAGCCATATTCAACGGATGCTCTGAATGACTTAGAGACTATGTCGCTTGTAACATCAATGATATCTGTTTACTGTGGACTTTTCTTTATAGCAAACAAACCAGAAGAATGGATAAAGGACAATCCAGAGTACTCCACAGGCTCACTATCACTTAGCAGCAATTCATTGCTGTTTTTCTTTGCAATGATAGTGATGTGCAATCTTTTATTCCTACTATATTGGTGCGTCAAAATGTACTACGAAGTAAAGGCGAAATTCAGGTCAATAGTCCCTAGAGTATATCTGATTCTTTGCTTGTGTTTTAATCGAGAAAAATTATAAAGAGAATTAAAAGAATACGAAATAAAGCTTATTAATGAGAACTTAAAAGAAGATTTTCTAAAGAATCTGTCTGTTATTAAGAATATGTATAAAAAAGGGGAAATAGTCCTTAATTAAAATAACTTAGAGAGACTTTTATCTTACTTACATCCTGATAAGGTCAAAGAAATAGCAATAAAGCAGCAGGAAGTTGAAATAGATGTTGAAGCAGTGGAAAAAGAGCAAAAGAGAAAGGATAGAGCTAAAGAGAATGTCTCGAAGATGAAGCAAGCTCAAGTAATAAATAATACTGATAAATTATTTTAGTTCTCTGCTGAAGATGTAAAAAGATCTGATAGTGTTAGGACAAACGTAACACTTGAAAAGAAGTCTATTGATTTTGATGAGGCATTTTTAGATGAAGAAGAAAATAAAAAGCCTTTAATGAGCGGCGCAGAGACATAAGATTCAGTCATAGTAAAAAGATCTTTTAAATCAAATCACATTGAAGATAATGATCATTCTGATTTTTAGGATAGCAAAGGGAGTTAAAGCAATACCACTTACAACATGCAAGACTTGTATTTGTCCACTAATCGAGAGCTATTATTGGACACTGAAGACGAGTAGGATGATAATGCTTCTATTCAATTCAGTGAAAAAGAATAGTACGACAAAGAGCTATAAGTCCTTAAAGATATTCAAAAGCTAGATGAGTATGCTAAAGAGAAATAGAAAATGGAAAATTCTGATAAGGTCAGTGGAAGAAAGAGCAATATGAAAGTTAGAGGATAAAATAAAAAACAAAAAGAGACTCTTATTGATAAGATTAAACAAGCTCTAAAGAACCAATCATAGAAAAAAGAAATGGATGGTGTAAAAAAAGATTCAATATTAAGGCCAATAGAAATAGAAGATATCACTATGGATGAATAAGAAATATTAGAGGAATCATTTGAATCAGTAAATGCAAAAACCTTCTACAGTATCAGCAATGTTGATGAAAGTAAAAAATCGAAAATCTATCAATCTAACAACCTTTAGGATTTGTTCTAAAAAAATTAAAACCTCAGTAAATTCAAGATATTATCATAGGCTAAGAGAAAAAAAGGATTCTAATAAGAGTCATTAAAGGATAAGTTAGATATTGAGAGGGACAATTACATTGAAGTATAGATCAGCAAAGCATCTCAAAAGAACAAGTAATCATAATAGAGGAAGACTATGCAAAATTAGGACTCACAAGTGATTTCAGAGTTTCTTAATAATCAGAATATTGAAGCAATATTATTCACTGATTCAGTTGATAGCAAGAATGATGGAACAAAAACTACTCTCTAAAGTAAGAATTTCCAGATTGAGGAAATTAAAGAAAATGATTCTAGAGAGCTATCAGAATATGAAGTATAAATTTAGAATCTCGACTAAGAGAATAACTATGTGATTAAAAATGCTGAAATCATTTCTGATCTCGATGATTATAGCCTTGAGGGTTCTGTGATCCAGAAATACAATCTATCTTTAAGCGAAGGAAATCAAAACGAAGACCAAATAGTAGATAATCTAAGAATCCCTAAACCTGATAATTAATAGAAAAGGTCTAATTATACTAGTCAGTCCAATAATGCCTATTCCAAAATTTCATTTGACTGATAAAAGCTAAATGAATTACATCTAGATAGTTATTTTTCATGATTTTAATTATTATTATATTCCTTAATTTCATAAATAATTCCAAATTCACTAACAATTACTAGATGGGGTTTTGGAATAGGCATTATTGGA